ATCCGCATACACCTCAATGGTTGCCTTGGTGATGGGCGCCCAACTTGGGGCGTGCAGCCTGTAATTACCGGAAAAAAAAAAAAAAAAGCCCCTACAATTCGATTTGTAGGGGCTTTAAACATGAAATTGGTTGCGTAAACGACATGGGCAATGCATATTTTACGGAAATTAGTCGAAATTACCTCAAAAAATCGAAGCCCAATGGTTCTTCGAGCTTGAATTCGAGATTTCGATTTTTTTTTTTTTTTTTTTGCTATTTGCGGTTTTTTGGTTTTTGTAGGTTTAGAGAGAGAGAGAGAGTCTTTTTTATGAACCGCGAATAGCAAAAACGTAACCGCGAATAGCATTTCCGTTTTTAAACCTGAAAATATTTTATCTCGATCATCGTTTGGAAGAATTTAAATGATTTATATTGTAATGGTTTAATTTTCCTTTATTTTTTCAGAATAAATAATTAGTCAACATGTTATCAAAATTATTTAATCAAAAAATAAAAAACTGGGTTATTTAATTTATTTAATTAAAAAAAAATGTTAGTGTTGAGTATTAATCTGTATGCAGCAAACGACGTACTGCATATGAATAAAGTTTGTAGTGACTGTACACTGTATCTCTGCTATTGTTTTTGACTTTTAGTTTCACGGATTTCAATGTAAATTTAAATACGCAGAATTTTTGTCTTAAATTTTCTATTTTATTTTTCTAGTATTTTATTTTTTATTTTTCTGTGTGTTTCTTTTTTGCTGTTGCAAGAACTGAGGCTTGTTTGTTCCGTACAATATATTCCTCGATGCACATTCACCAAAAAAAAAAAAATCTGCTTTTTTTAGCAAACGAAATCCAATAATTCAGTGGCAATTTTTTGAGTAGATTTATGCAATTATCACTTGAAACAATAAAATTAAATCCTGTTTGAATTTAACTTATATGAAACAAATAAAGAAGAGAGAATTAATCCTTAACGATAATATGATTCATGTTATTTATTTATACAGAAAAATATAATATTATTTATGTTTCATCTTTGTCGTCTTATTTTTACATATTACTCCCTCCGTCCCAATTTAAATGTCGTTTTGGGTTGTTTTGCACATATTAAGAAACTCAATAAATGTGCATAGATTATAGTAAAAGAACATATAAAATTACTAAAATATCCTTGACATTTATAGATTCTCAACTAATTAATTAGGAGTGATTAAGGGTAAAATTGAAAATAATGCAATTAATGCTTCATTGAAAATATAAAATGATAAATAATTTGGGACAAAAAAAACTCTTTAAAAAGACATATAATATAGGACAGAGGGAGTAATAAATTAATTAATATATACAGAGAATATGGCAGTATTGTAATTCGCCGACAACAAAGAATGAGCGTGGGAGATGAATTTATGACCATTCGGCACACAAATTAAGGTACTCTCTCTCTCTCTCTCTCTCTCTCTAAAACTTCATCTGAATTTCATAAATTTAATTTCTCTTCCCATCATTTATTGATTTAATTATTGACTTTTTCAAGCAATAATATCTCAACTAAAACATTGGTTTCGATTCGATTTTGTTATAAGAGTTAAATCTCTATAAATTAATATAGTTGGACCAACAAAATTCTATTAATTTAACGAAATATTCAATTATCGAATTAATAATTTCATATATTTTTATCGAGTCGGAACAAAATATAAACACCATCCAATCGACGTTATTACTTTATCGAAGTTCTACTGTAATACAATTTTCAAAAATAGATTCCGAAATTCTTTTCTTCTATAAAATTCATAATGATTAGCTCGT